TTTACACATCACAAAGATTTAAAACGATATCGTGCAAAAAAAAACTAGTCACTTTATTTTAGAGAGTTAAATAGTAGCTAAATTTTATGCAGTTTATTTAAAATCGAATAAAAGTGTTTTTATTACAAAAAATACTACAATTTAACAACACGATGTGTGACATAAAATATGATTGTCAAATCCCACAGTACATTTTTAAAGTACCAGTAAAACGAAATAATTTAATTTAGATGTCAATTTAGTTTAAATAAACTACATTAAAATTAAAATTGGGCTCATGAAATTTATTTGATTTGATTCTTGCATAGCGCCTACGTTCTCAATTTAATCTATTTGTATGGTATGTAATAATATAAAAATAGTGGTTTGTTTACCAATAATAAAAAGTTAAGAATCTGTCATCAGTTCTGGATCAATAGTTTATAGTTTTTGAAGTAACATGCAATAAGTCTTTATTATAATGGGTATATGAGTGGAATGTAATAGCATACGTACAGGGAGAAAGTTTCATATCTTTAGATGGTTTTACAGGCAGCATTAGACTTTTATACTGCATAACGTACATAGTATTCATTAACCTAAGGTAGAGCTGCTAAAAGTTTTAAATATGTAGATAACAGTCTGGTAAACCATAATTTGATATTTTAAAAGTACGATAAAGTTCTTTATTCATGCGCTTTCCACCACCTACACATAATATACTTTGCGTTCCTAATTTGTATTTAATTTCATCCTTTAGATTTTACGAATGATCATGAAAGTAAATTACAAAACATGAGAAAATAAAGTACCGAAACAAATTGGTGAATAGTTAACCTTTTTCATAAGTCATAGACAGTGATTTTAATCATATTTTATAATAATTTAGTAAAATAACTGATAAAATTATTTGATGTTCATAAAAATGAGATGAAAATTATTTCGATACACAATAATCTTACTTATGAGCAATTTGAAAATGTTTCATTGTAATTTAGAGCCGTACTACATATTTTAAAATATGTATATAAATTATATACTATAAATTATTTATTTTAATCATGTTTCACGTTCTTTCTAAAAGCTAATGCTTGTGCTAGAGGGAATGGAAAAATTTACATAGCCCAGTGCAATGGAGTTGAATCCCCGTACATACACACCTATACATGCTAGATCACTAACTAGGTAGGCTACTTAGCTATTTATAGTTAAATACTTTTAAAAAAAGTTGGAATATATATGAACGCTGGTTAAAATTGAAAAACATAAACATAATACAGTACTCGTTTTTAGATTTGATGCGAATCTAAAATGGTATTCATTTTACTATGATGTTTCTTTTTTTTTTATTTTTTTTTTGTGTCTGTTACCACTTTTCTTAAGCTCTCACCGAACCGATTTCTTTCAATGATACGTCAAAAGATCACAAATTGTATCTAGTCGAAGACATTTCCCTCGAAAATTGTAATATTGATATATTACACTTATAAATCATAAAACTTGTAGTCAGGATATAAATAAGGAAATAGGAGATCATGTAACTTATGGAATAATCCATCAATTTTTTAAAATTATACACTATCTATAGATTTGTATCGAAGCGTTTTTTATGATAGTGATTTTAATCACTGTTAGTTATCATCTAAACAGGACTCAACTATGCCACGACCCCACTGTGCTGGATATTTTAATATACACTTTTTGAAAAAATGATGAGACTTGTTTATATTGTAAAACTATTCCATATATGAAATACTGTAAAAAATAAAACGTCAAAACTATATTATTTTTTAAATAAATAAAATATGTAAGTAATTGTTATAATTGTAATACATTTTAAAAGTTCAATATGTTTCAGGAATTTTAATAATACTTCATCTTCAAACTGTAATAATATGAAAAACAAAATCATTTGTAAGAAATCACTAAGCCTCAGCTTAAAAACTTTAAACGTTAAGTTTAAAATTTTAAAAGATCATTAGAACGTGTAACCTAGNAGCTGAAAAACTTTAAACGTTAAGTTTAAAATTTTAAATGATAATTAGAGCGTGTAACCTAGTGCAATAGAAATACTTCCTTTTACGCCTATTATAATTTTAATTTTACAGCAATTCAATTCATTTAATGTAGGTAAATTACGCGTTTTGTGAATTAATTTATATTTACTAAGATTTTAAAATATAATCTCGTTTGTTTTCATTATTAGTTAAGTATGCGCAGTATGTGGCCATTGTTAATTTCAGAACATTAATTTCCAGTACTTTATAATTTGGTTATGATTCTTGAGTTGTTCTTCACAGTTATACATGCAAAATATTTTATAATAAAAGTAAATACAAATAGTTACAGAACACATTCTACTATGTACGTTATAATCTTTTTGTAAGTAATAATCTCCAAAATATTTAACATACAGACTAATTTACACACAATTTAATATGACACATGTAGTCATATTAAACATTAAAGAATAACCAAGCTAAAATGTTCTAAAGCTAATAAAATTTAGTGTGAGTTAACCATTTTTTTAAAATTATTGTTTAAGAATCATTCTTTATTTCTAAACTTTTGGGTTGTTATTTTCATGTAATGATACTTAAAAAGTTAATATAAAATAATTAAATATATATATATCAAAATATATTTTAATACCTTAAAATATTTGTGTAAGCAACACTATTGGCATGAAAATACAATATTTGTAAATCACCTGAAATATGTTTTGCATTTATTTAGATCGTATTAATTCTAAACAAATTGATGGAATTAATACGATCTAAATAAAGACTTGAGATTATTTTAACGACTGTTTGACTGGTTCGGTTTAATGCATAATCATTAGGATGCCAGTTATTTTATGAATTTTCTGAAGTCTAAAAAGTTTTTTATTTAAACTAATATAAAATTTATCCCTAAAATTTGAAACTAATAACATAAACACTTGGTAATTTGATATCAAAATTTGAATTTGAATCTGTTGATTATTTTTTGTATATAGTGTTCAATTAGTAAAAATTTCTTATTTTTATATTCAGTAAAATGAAGTTGAACAAAAAGGTAGATTAAGAAACAAGCTTTGTTTATGTCAATACCAAACCATTTGTGGTCAGTTTTTTTAACGACTTTTTTGTTCTATTATTAAACTTGAAGCGATTTTTTACTTTTTGAAAAAAACAAAATTTAAGATAATAAGAGTAATGTTTAATACTAGAACAAAAAATTAAAAAAGGTGTTCAAAATAAAGATGTAATATTGCACATACAATTATTTTAAGTATTTGGATTAGAAATAGTTCATTGGTAACAAAAAATAGGACTTACATTAATAACATTTTTCTTAATAAGCTGTATTAACTTGTATAATGAACTACTAGTATTAGTAAGTTTTAGAGCTGCGCTATTCGATGTTTAGTATAAGGAATTGATGAAGTAGCATCAAATATTACTACAAATGCATGAACAAAACATTAAGGTTAAGTTTAAGGTATTAGAGACTCTGATTAGTAGACTTCTAATTCCGTTATATCCGTCAAAAAGCTGCTTTTTAGATTAATACGATTGCGTACTTAGAATAGGGTACACAATCGTATAAAGCGCTTACAAAGTTTATGTTAAGTAACAAAACAAAAAAATAATGTTTAAACGTATTAAAAATTATGGCTAGATTTTAAATGTAAAGTACAAAAATGAGTGAGTTTTTTAATTAGATACCTATTCCATAAAGTATAATAAATATATACATATTATGGAAACATTAGTCATAGATAATCAGTCGGGTTAAAATGGGACTCCTTAAAATAAATACCATTTATTAATATTTTAAACAAATAAAACTTTAAACCTATTACATACACACTAAAATACAACATGTACGTGGAAGTTAATAAGTTGAAGTTTTATGAATTTATGTAAGTATTTAGTTTCGTTAAACAATTAACTATTAAATAGTTACTTCGACTGAAAACATAGCGAATACAGTTGTAAAACAATTAAATAGTTGAGAGAACAAAACTCATTATTTGTACCAGCTATAAAAAGTAGTTAACTTAATTTTTTTAGTAATTCCAGCCAAATATTGAAATAGTGACAGTAAAATTTTATTTAGCAACTATAACTTATTCAACTAGGTACCTATTTATTAAATTTCAAATAATTTCCAGTTATATAAATTTTACCAATAAGTTTAATATTACATGAATGTAAAATTTGATTTTGAAAATTTGAAAATTAAATTTCTGTTAAAAATTTTATTAGATTTACAATTATTTATCATACATATATTATTCTAGTCATTTTTTTTCTCAAATAAATTTTTATTTGATTTATCATTAAATTATTTTGAACTAGCTTATTCAGTCCTGAATTCTATTATATCTGTTGTAATAAATAATTGCCTGATTAACGAATTGTAATAACTTTTATTTAAACAGTTATTATTATGTTAACATATTTTAATATTTTGCATATTTTAATCAAAACAATGTTTTTCAATTAATAAAATGTAATAATTTATTAAACAACTTGAATGATTTCTAACTTATATTTCTTAAAATATAGTTATTTTTTAACAAAGTTAGTTTAAAGACATTTATTCAAATTGCTTTAGAGCATTTAATATAATGCATTAATAAAAAGAAACAGTATATTTTATATTTCAATAAAAATGTTCACACATAATTTTTATTAGTTAGACATTGTAATTTTAATCTTCGCCAAATTCATTATTATTAAGTACAGTAATTCACATTAAATCAATGAATAATTATTCAAATTTTATCAGTGTAACGTCTCGAGGATTGTGTACTTAATTAAACATGCATGAATTTATGACAATAAATTATTATTATGTTTATCATTACTAATAATAAACAAAAATATTTAAACATTAATAGGTAAAATGTTATCAGTATATTTAAACATGGTTAATTATAAACTAACAAAATAATAATTATTATAATTAAGCTCATTTAACTAGCTAATAATGTGTACTTAATTTAACAAACGAAGTTAGTTTCTCATCAAAATATTATAGTACGCTATAATATTTTGATGAAAAACCAACTTCCAATAAACTAAAATACCGATAAAAGATTTGTATGAAAATATTTTATATCATTTTAATAAAAAATTTGGTGATGATTATTTAGAATTCAATTAATCCAAAATGACAGTTATAATTCCTATTTTTATGGACTCTAAAACACTGTCTGATTATTTGCTTATTACTAAGAATGAAAGTTATATGCATTGGTAATAAAATTAGTTGCTATAAAATGCACTATGTATTAAAAACACCGAAAACGGACTACTAGTTAACATAGTAGTTGATAAACCTTATAAAATGGTTGGAATGCGATGACCATATAATAGATAAAAATATAATTACAAATCAATTAAATGTGTTAATTTTAAGCTTTCACTGAAATAGTTCATTTGTGTAATATATTATGATATGTTGGTTTAATATAAATTACTACTGATATATTTTTTTTTTTAAATTATGATATAAAATAATTGATAATTTAATTTAAGGAAAAACAGGGGTCATTAATCATTAAGGTACGATGTAAGAAGTATAAGGGTATTGATAACATTAATATTGCACTTTGTAAAAAAGTAATTATAGCTACGTTTCCTTAGTTCAATGTTATTCAATTTGCTTAGGTTATTGGAAAATATTTGAACACCTTTAGGTTATTAACAGCACGAATGAAAAAAAAATTTAATTAGCTACTTAAATTAATCCAGTCTTTTTAAACAATAAAAATAAATTAACCATTAAATCGTATACATTTTACAATTAATTGGTTAATGCCGGCTGACCATTCCATTGTTGCAAACCGTAATGACGACCACGGGTGCTAATAGGTGTTTTGTAAGTTGGTTGTCTGTTTTTTATTTCTTTTTTTACATCATATTGTAATACTTGCTTCACAATGGGTTCATCATGCTGATCCTGCAAATTAACCTGANGTTCATCATGCTGATCCTGCGAATTAACCTGATTTTGATCAGTTGCCTCAGTTTTGAGGAGATCCTGACTCGTATTTTTACCATCTTTGTCGACAGCTTGTTTTATAATATTTTCGTTCTTTTTGTTAGAATTATGTTTGAACGGATATTTTTTTCTGGAGTCTACATCTTCTAAACCTCTAGCCATTGATTCAACATTTATGTATCCCATGCGACTAGTTTCAGCCATTTCATTGGAAAGATCTTCTGTTTCACTCTCACCATCTTTATCAATGGATCCATTATTATTTTTCTGCGGTTCAATTGTGGTTTGGTTAAAGAATTTCTCACTATCTTCATTGCTACGTACTTTATCGTTTGAACTGTATATAAGTTCGACGTCATCACCCGGTGGACGTTGTTCCGTTAACGGTACACGAGACTTTTGGTTTTTCATTGGATTATTCATATACTCGTACGTTTGCGGAGTTTCGTACATAGCTGGATGTTGTCCTTTTCTTTCAGCTGATATAATATTTTGGTCATTCTTTAGTTGAAGTTCAACTACTCCAGCCGGTAAATTCCGTTGCCCATACCTAAATGGACCAATGATTTCTCTACCATTAACTCCGGTTGGACCACTCGCATAACGACTGTTAAGTACACGGTTTCTCTCAGTAGTTTGTTTAGATTCTAANGACCACTCGCATAACGACTGTTAAGTACACGGTTTTTCTCAGTAGTTTGTTTAGATTCTAAGTCAGGTGACATAGTAATGTGTATATCCGGTGATACTGTCATAGTATTGACAATTTTAGCATCAAATAACATCAATAATAACGTAACGTAACCACAGACACTGTACTTTACCCACTGCATTGTGATCGATTCGATCTTTATAATGATACTGATACGTTACAACGGCTGCTGAATTACGTTCCGCTTTCACCCCTCACTAACGCAACGTGTCTCCCTCCCCAACCAACTCCTATTATCATACGGACTTCAACATGACGTTTTTTGTGCTTTTTTTACGTTGTCGCATGACTAAAAATAAAAAAATACGCAATAAACCGATATCGTACCTATACTCTTACAACCGTTGGTTGCAATGCTATGAACCGGTTGTGTTTGTCGATATATTGTACTGGATCTTTGAATGATTAGTGCGCATTTTCTCATCTCCCTTTAACTTAAAATACTCGCAACTTACTGGAATTAAAAATGAAATAAAACAATTTTCCTAAAAAAAAATTAAGGTTACCATTAAAAAATAAAAGTTGCTGGTTGTTTAAATCGTAAAGAATGATTGTAGAAAATAATTTTTTCTCAACTAAGAATCAAACGCAAAACTGTCTCGATAAATAAAAGTATTAGCTCTTATGTTTTCAAAAATATTTTATGAGATAGATTTATATAGTAGATCATTATGTGTATTATTTCATCTTTCATGCAAAAGTAGACAATTCGGTATGCATCTTATACGAATATTAAAGACAAATAAGTTAATTCTGACAAATGAAATGAATTTTAATCTATGTACAGCTAATTTAAACATTTTTAAACTATAATTTGATTTTTAGCATAATATTACATTTTTAACATAACATAAAAAGTAAATGAATGCCAACAAGATTNGAGATAGATTTATATAGTAGATCATTATGTGTATTATTTCATCTTTCATGCAAAAGTAGACAATTCGGTATGCATCTTATAAGAATATTAAAGACAAATAAGTTAATTCTGACAAATGAAATGAATTTTAATCTATGTACAGCTAATTTAAACATTTTTAAACTATAATTTGATTTTTAGCATAATATTACATTTTTAACATAACATAAAAAGTAAATGAATGCCAACAAGATTTTTACTACTAAATCATGTTTGTGTTTGATTTAAATCTCATTTCGGTTGGATTAATAGATAATAGTATTTAAAACAAAGGAACCATCAAAAGTTCGATCTAATTCCATATCACACCTTTTATTAATTGTTTATTGTTCATTAATTGGAAAGTTTAGTTTTACGACATGAAATAATTAATTAAAATGTGTATGTAAATTAATTATAAATATTTTGCGTTATAATTTAAGAGAACAAATTTATAATAGTTTAGTGTGTTTACCACCAATACCTAAATTAATAACAGATTTAAATTAAAGGACAAAAGTACTCAGATTTTCAGTTTACCCACTGGCATATTAATGGAAAGGGGGGATAGGATGTCATATCTCCTATAAGAAAAATATTTACAAGGCAAAGATATAATTTTTAAGTTAAAAGAGAAATGTAAAAAAATTTCTTATGTATATTCCTCCCAGACAAAACTTTAATCACGTCACTGGATGTTGCCACATTTACTACGTAGTATCATGTAAATAAAACAAAATTAAAAATTATGACTGTCATTAATTTACAGAATGATTCCTTACATTTTTTCTATATTACAATAGAAAAATATGTATGTTGCCATTTATAAAAATAATGTTGACACCTTTTTAAGACATCAGGGATGAATATAAAAAATATTTTATAGCACATAAAGGAAGATACACATGTAACTAACAAAAGCCAAAAATAAAATTTCATAAAAATATTATTACTTAATCAGAATATGAATGGCTAGAGTTAAAACAATTAATCTATATACTCCACAATACCATCACATACGTTTAATGTATTTTAATTATTACTGCACATTATAAATAATTTTATAGAAACTATTGTGCATAAAAATTCTATAGAGTAAAATACTTTTAGAGAAACAAGTTTATATTGTAAACTTTAAAAATGTAAATCAATTGGATCTATTTTCATATTTACATAATTAACTTACAAAACTATATAATTCATTATTTATTATCTTAGAACAAAATTAAAGACTTCAAATTTAAACCAGTTAAAATAAACAAATGAAGTATAAATTTATGATTCTAAATACATTTATAAAAAGCTAATCCAGTATTATACATATTTTCATTAACAATGTTAAACAAAATTTAATTTGATTAGTTAACTTTTAGAGTTAAGCATATGCATAAATGTATATTATTAGATTTTGAAAGAAGTTTTCATTAATTATTTTATAAATTACTAAACTATTTTGTTGTAACATCGATAACATAAAATAATATTTTAAGTATATTTGATTTTAGATGAAATTGAATTTTCTATTAAATTAATGTCAACATGTTAATTTTTATTTTTGATTTTAATAACTAGTTTATTAACAAACTACTCAATTGTTTATTAAACTTTATCGATAGTAGTTTCTTATGTAATAATTTTTATAATAAGTTGGTTTGAAAATTTTATAAATAATTTTAGTAAAAAAAAATTTGTTGTTTAAATAAAAAACTCAAGTAAAATTGTACTAACAAAATTATTTTTATTAATAAATTTAATGAATTTATCAAAGCTATTTTGAAATTTGAATTGTAATAATAATGTAGCACATTATATTTATTGGCAGTAAAATAACTTAAAATTATTCGTTATTTCAAAATGATGTCAAAAAATTACTTGAAATGATATTATTTATAAGATAAATAAAATTTGACAATTCACTATAAATTAAATACAAAAAAACAACATTTTAACAAATTTATATATTATATTATACAAATTTAATTTCCTAAATTAATATATATATATATATATATATAAATGATAATTAGTTTTATATTCTTCTATTTCCCGAACTTAACATGAACAGAGTGTGGGGACTCTCTGTAATATGTTAGGTAGTCAAAGATAGTTCTTGACTAGGCTAATGATGACTTATAAGAAAAAATTTCTACCCACTAGGCCAGACCGATCCTTACACACACACATATATATACACAATATACATTTATTGAATAAAATATACTAGAGATAATTTATGTTCAGGAATTATTATGAGATTAGTATCACCTTTATTTCAAAATCAATCTTAATTTATAGTTATGAACTTACGTTTGATATTAATTGACAAGTACAGATTTATAAGTTTAAAGTAACCTATAAATTTAGTAATTTTGTAAACATTTCAATTGGTGTTTTGAGTAATTCAATTCATTCAATTTCAGCATTCATATGTGTTTGAGTCTAGCAAATAAATTCAAACATTACGAAAGTTCGTAATACTCATTTTTTATAGTAACAAAATCATTTGTGTACTAACGAAAAATTCAAAATACCAACATTAATTAAAAGATAAAAAAAATTAAATTAATTAAGTAAAAAACATGTTGTAAATTTCATTCTTGCATTGTAAAAGTACCTTCGCAAATGAAGTTTTATGGCATCAATAATAAGTTGTTTTTTGTCACATAAATATATTTACCAATAAAAATAAGTGAAAATACAAGTCAATTTTATAATTGTTTACGTCAAGTAAAGATTTTTAAGTAAGCATCAATATCATCGATATTTTGTGTTTTTTCTCTTATTTAATTTTCAACAAAACTTAGCAAGAATATAATTGTATTCATTTAATAAAACACTTTTTATTTTAATTTTGTTCCAGACTTAAAAAAATTAAAGTAAATATACAAAGTAATTGATTTGCCGATGACCACTAAATTATTCTTTAAATAATAATAATATTGAAAAACTATTTTTTAATTTCATTAGTATTATTTATGTTTTAATGTATAAGCAATTACATAATTTTTAGGTATAATCTTTATTTCTTGTAAGTCTACTGACTTTATTTTTTTAAATAGTAAAAATTATATTTAACTAGCCTATAACATGGAAAAAACTAGTCTAATATAACTTTTGGACTAGTATTTAAATTAAAATTAATGAGTTGACGTAAGAAGTGGGTGTTGCATTCTTCCTTTAGCCAAAGTATAAAAATATTCATAATTTCTGGTTTCAAGATTGTTATTGAATAATGATTTTTTTAATTAGACCATTTAAACGTTTAAGATGTTAAATATGTAAGTTGCCATTAAAAAATTTGAACTAAACAAAATTAAAAAAAAAATTTTTATGTTATAATTTTTTTGGAAGAAATTTAGTGGTCAACGATAAATCAATCACCGATATACATTTGTCAAAAATTACTGAATACTATGCGTTGGTTAAAAATATTTAGTATTTTCTTTATTCAGTTTTGTAGAAATTAATGAAGTTTAAACAAACATAATTCCAAAAATAATGTTAATGTTTACTATTGTTGCTGCTAGATATAAGTCTTAATAATTCCGTTTCTAAGTCATAACTCATTTTTTTAATAGTTATGTCTTTGTAGCTTGAGTAGTTTTTTTTAATTTTCTTATATAATAACAATTATTACAATGTGCACTAATATGTTTAATTGAACTAATCGTTGTTTTCATTTGGACCTTTTTTATTTCAAAGATTAAAAATACTAATCAAGACAACATAAATATGATACTGTTTAAAAAAAATACTGTAAAATGTATGAAATTAAGTTAAAATAACACGCTAACTGTGAAACTTAATATGCGTTTATTTTACACATATGAGCTGAGCCCTCCCTATAAAAAGATATTCTAAGATGTTAATACTCACTATAAAGAAACCTGACCGTCGTAAGTACGCCAATAAAGACCACACATGTTTTGTAGACTTATATTATTTCTTTAATTTACTGTTCAGTAATAATTATCTTTTTTAAATGTTTAAAAAGAAATTTAGTTTCATATCATGTGCATACACCATAAAATTATTGATATCTGTCCGAGAGTATTTAAAACTTCAAATTTATTTTAACTTTATGTAATGGTTTAACAAAAAGTTGACTACTTAAATAAATAGTAGCATAAATTATATAACCTTCATTGCATTATTTTACTATGTTAAGTATATGTTTTATTATTTATTTTTTATGAGTAATAAAGTAAAATTTTTTTCTTCAA